CAGACATAAAAAATCGATGGAGTGGTCTGGAGAATCTCACGGTTTCCGTTGCGCACTTCTGTAAACTTTATTGTGAAAGGCAAACAAATTAAAATCCACGACTTGCCACAACACGTGTCACAACTAGCTTTCCTTCTCGCACAAACGAGACAGAACTGACTTCTAACATAACCCTTAAAGATCAAAGTTTTTGTAACACGAAAGAAAGAGAGCACCTCAAGTTGGTACATCAAAAAATGAACGATAACTCTCTGACGCTACAAATAGTCAATATACCAGGAACGGTGCTAAACGGTGCTATCAATTTCCGCTTCTGAACACTTTTGCGACTTCCAACATCATCCTCATAGTCTGTTCCGAGCTTCTCTCTTCCCTTTCGTGATCCAGTCTGGTCATCTGCAGTAAGAACTCTCTATCTTTTCTATCACTTTCTTCCATACAATCTCTGAGAAACTGAAGTGGTTTACCGTTGTCGTCTTGAGCCGAGCTATCGTTGGCCCTTTTTCTGCTCTCTCTGTTCAATGGCGTCTCTCGAGTATCTCCTGCGCGTGGAGAACCCATTCCATGTTCAGAGGCAAACCGTGCATCCCCACTATGATGGTGAGGGACAGAACTAGCGCTACCGGTACTCTCATACCTCATGTAGTCACACCATTGGAACATTTCTGACTTAAAGAAATTGGATAGACAGGCTCGTAAGATTATCAGCAATAGCAGTGGGAAGCATCCGCTTTGATCAACTTCTCTTATCTACCTGCCTAGAGCTCTAGGAGGGCGTGGCCTGAAGTCTGTGGAGACTGAGTACAAACAAATCAAGATTAAGTCAGCTATCAGGCTCTATAGTAATAACGACCCAACCATGAGCCTGGTGAGAGCCTTTGAAGAGCATGCCACAACACAAGGTCATCAATCTCTATTAAAGGAGTCCGCCAAATTCTCTGAAGAGTTTGGGGTTGCTCTCGAGCTCTCCTTTCCTGAGCCAAAATGCCGAGACAGGGACGGGCAGGAAGAACCATTGGATAAGCTCAAGAGGCTCTTAAAGAGATATATATAAGGCAAACATAAGTTTTTACAACTGTCGGATAATAATAATAATAATAATAATAATAATAATAATAATAATGGTTTATTGACTGTGAATCCACCTGGTGGCTCTTTACCTGCTAAAAACTACTAACTTTTAGTGAAAGTAATTTACGAACTATTAATAAATGTTATTTAAAAGATAGGCATTAACTTCTCTACAAACTATAAAAATCTATTATAATTTACAAACTATTCACAAATGTTATTTAAAAGATAAGCTTTAAGTTCTCTACGGGCACTTTAAAATCATTACAGTTTGTATTATTTGCCGGGAGGACTTTAAATAACTTGGCAACAGAGTCTTGAAAAGTGCCTCTCTCCATTGGTATAATTAGTCTTGTTGCAGCTCCTGACCACAAAGAACGTAGATGTTT